GGTCCTCAACCACCATGGAGTGGGACTTTTTGATATTACTTCTTTGGAGTTACTCCTGCTCCTGGGAATAATCCCTCACCTACACATTCTGCAGGTAAAACCAGAATCAACTTATCATATGCCTTGCTGGGAATTTGGTAAAGTCCTTATTTTATATCCTTTCTTTCCATCTGGGTTGAATACATGCTTCTTCACACCCCCTAGTAAAAGTCAATGCCATAAGTGGACACATGCAAACACATTAAAGTTGGAAGCAAAGGCCTTGATGACCAATTCAGTGGGGGAGAGGTTTAGGATTTCTCACCGTAACAAGTCAAAATGATCTTTATAACTTTATAAGAATCAAAAAAGTGTCAGACGGCATGGATCACTCAAATGTCTAGTTAGTGCAGCATGTCTACACTACCTGGCTTTTCTTGACCTCTGAGAGACAGATCTGGGGACAAGGTTTGTTTTGCTGAAAGTTCACCGGGTTGTTCTCACTAGAAGGACTGATGCTTTTTGTGAAAGAAATCATGGCCCTGCCAAAGCTAGACATCTATGAACATGGTAAGCTAGAAATATCAAAGCCAAGTGTATGCAGTATCGTGTTATCTTTCTACTCTTATTTTCCCACAAATAACATCATCTGTTCTTTCATCTGTGCTCACTAACTTGCAAATGAGTTGCTGTGTAGAAAAGGAAGTGGGAGTGTCAGGCATGGGATTAGCTTCAATCTGAGCTGACTTTTGCATGACCCTACAGGTCATCGTGGGCTTTTGTCCCTCTGGAAGTGTGAGTCCAGATAAACTCTTCCTTCTGTAAGTTGCTTTTGGTGGAGTGGTCTTCCACAACAAGGAAATAACAACTAATAAATAAAACATAACACATTAATCAATCTATATCAGGGGATCAGTTAGCAAAACCAACAAACAGCCAAAGTGTGGCGCTCAGATTGGAGGTAACCGTTGGAGATGGGAGCATCCCTGCTAGAACATAAGCAATCTGTAAATGCTTTTCCAAGGCTAGAACAAGGGCATGTGCTCAACCACGTTCATAGCAGCATTGCTTGTCATACCCAGAACCTGGAAACAACCTAATGTCCCTCAACCAAAGAATGGATAAGGAAAATGTGGTACATTTACACAATGGAATACGACACAGCGGAAAAAAATAATGACATCTTGAAATTTGCATGAAAATGGATGAAGCTAGAAAACATCATTTTGAGTGAAGTAACCCAGACTCAGAAAGACAAATATCAGATGTACTCACTCATAAGTGGTTTTTAGACATAAAGCAAAGAAAACCAGCCAGCAGTTCACAATCCCAGAGAACTTAGACAACAATGAGGACCTAAGAGATACATACATGGATCTAATCTACATGGGAAGTAGAAAAAGACAAGATCTCCTGAGTAAATTGGGAGCACGGGGACCAGGGTTGAAGGGGAGGGGAGAGGAAGGGAGTGGAACAGAGAGAAATGTAGAGCTCAATAAAATCAATAATACACACACACACGGGTGTGTGTGTGTGTGTGTGTGTATGTGTGTGTGTGTGTGTGTGTAAATCCAAGGCTAAAATCCCCAGGCCCCCACTGTGGCTGCAGATCTTTCTGTCAGAACAAGGTGTTTCCTCTCAGCGCACCTCCTGTTCCAGGCATGCAACAGGACACCTGAGAAACAAAGGTTCGACAGCAGGCAAGAGAAAAGGCAACAGTCTTCGTGGATCGTCATTCTTTGCCAGGACAGAGTTCTGCTAACAACGTACAGGTTAACAAGAGAAAACCAAAGCAAGTCTGCTACCCCTGCAGCGCACAACACGCCAGTGAAAAGTCTGTCTCTTAGGAAAGCTCTCTCACTCCACCCAGGGGCACAGGATGATCACAGAAATCCTATTTTAACCACAAGAAACAGTGAGTCCCAGTGTGACCAGACAAAGGAGCAAGGGGCTTCAGGGTATAGAGTAAAGTCAGCTGGATCCCACAGACAACCGCTGGGCTTGCATTAGAACGGAAGAGCAGCTGTCTCCAACAAGGGAAGCTCTGCATCTGTCTGAGGGGGTGGGTTAGAAAGGCCTTCTGTCTGTGAAGATGACCACCTGCCTCCCTGTTTGTCTGGCAGGCCCTTCCGAGCCTGCTTGCCCCACGCAGGCAGGGCACGATGGCATCAAGGACCCGCGAGCCAGACACAGATGCTTGCCCCATGCGTTCTTTCCTAAAAGGACCCGCGAGTCAGACACAGATGCTTGCCCCATGCGTTCTTTCCTAAAGGGCCCGCGAGCCAGACACAGATGTTCTCCGAATCTTGTCAGGGGTCCCCACACAGCTTGATCCCACACAGTCAGAAGAGGAGCTGAGGAGAGGCTGAGTTATGGCTTTGTTCTAGGGTGCTCCCACTGAGGCTGGCAACCTGAGGGCTCTCTGCAGAAGGCAGTGTAAATGGGACTGAGCAGGGAGCCAGTTTCCAACTGGTTTTCAACTTTCAACCAGCTGAAGCCTGGACCGAGGGCTTCTCGCCACAGAGTCACTGTGCCCTCTGGCGGGCACAAGCTCTGAAGAGTTCATTGTGAGCTTTCTCGGGAATCCCCGTCCTCAAATATTCTTGTTACCGGTTTCCTAGTTTTCTTTTTATCCAGCACCCGAACCCTCTGATTCGCTTAGAAACACTGTCCACGCGGCTGCGTTTCCCACTACCTCAGACATTCTCTCTTTCACATGAGAGGAACAACTTCATTCTAGTTGGAGGTCGGCAGCTCTAGGTGGCCTTTTGTGTCATTGTCAAAACAAAACAAAAACACCCAAATTTCTAGTCTTACAGAAACTAGTACCTATGGGCTCCATGGTTGGTGTGTGACTAAATCAGGCTGGGCAAGGAGGAGCCAAGGAACCATGGCTGTAGGAAACCTCTACAGAGAGGTCTGAGCCATGTGCTGTCAGAGTGCCTGCCTCTGAAACTACCTATAAATATGAATGTGAATGTCTGTGTGTATGTATGCATGTATTGCTGTGCATGTATGTGTGTATGTGTGCATGTTGTCTGTGTGTGTGCGCGCATTGTTCTGTGTGGCTGTGTGAATTTATGTATAAGTATTGTGTGGTGTGTGTGTGTGTGTGTGCATGTGCATATGTGTTGGGTGGTATGTGGTGTGTGTGTGCCTGTGCTTTGTGTGTATGTATGCATGTGTATATGCTTAAATGTATGTGTGCATGTGTGTATTTGTATGTGCCTGTATATGTTTCTGTATGCATGTGTTTGGTGTGCATTCATTGGATTTGTGTTATTATACAAAATACAGGAAACAGACCCCTTAATAAGAAGAGAGCTTTATTGGCCCTCGGTTTGAGATGGCCAGTGGCTGAGTGTCTGCACATGCTAACTCAATGGGAACAATGGAGGGTGGCATACCATGGCTGGAGTGCATAGGCTAAGAGCAAACTCTCTAGCAGTGACGTGGAGAAACACTACAGACTGGGATTCCACAGGCTCTGTGTTCCCACCCACTATGCCTGGCTTCCCAGAAGACGCCAGAGCCACATCATCCAGCCACACTGGAAGTCAGACCTGTAACGGTCGCCACACTGCATACACATCTTTCTTTTGAAGTCCTTAGGCATCCTGTTCCAAACAAGTGTGACATAATTTGAGCGGTACTTTAGGTAATCAGGGGGTAGATTCTGCAGCTCGGATATGGAAGATGCCGAGATGAAGAGAAACGTGAAGGCAGGGGCAAGACTGGTACAGAGCCTCGGCAGAAACAAGGCAGCAAGTGACGACATGGACGGGTTGATGGAACGCCTCTACTGTACTAGGGGTGTCTATGGAGTGCACACTCACCCGTATGGGCACTGGGTTTGGCTCCTTAGTGAGGGTAAGTGTAAACCAGAGCTGGGAATTCGGGAAAGTACCACGTAAAGGAGAAACCGCTCGCTAGGGACTAAATTTCTTACAACAATTATATTTTAAAAGGCAGGAATCTCGGAATTGAAGCAGTTTGATTTAATAGGCCGGGATACTACACTCACAGAGAATTTGCTTAAACCTGCAGGTTGCTTTCTGGCCTCCTGCTTGGATTTTGAGGGAAACAAAGAAGTATAAAGGCGCCATCTAGTGCACAAACAACAAACTGTTAAAACATTTACAAACTGAACAGTCACTTCAGCTTGAAGATGAAGTGTCCTTAATCCTCCTTCTTCCGGTCCTGCCATCTAGTTTGAGTCCACCATGCCACAGTATTGGGGCCAAGTAACAGTAGATTGGACTCAAAAACCATGTGCCAAAATAAATATGCCCCCCCCCCCGGAAGGTGTTAACGTTGAGTGATGTGTCTCAGGGCCCAGAACAGAAGCAATACATAGTTTCAAACAGTAACATTCTACAGGTGGAGGCATAACAATACTGCAGTGGAATCCATGTTCTGTGACAGACTGGAGAGCCTTGTCAACGACAATCTGCGCTAGCTCCAGGAGAGGAGGTGAGGAGAGACAGTGCTGGGCACCACACAGATGTGCCGTCTCTTGGTGTGGAGCAGCGAATCTTCTCGTTGTACATTTTGTAGCCCAGAGCGTTTTATGCATGAATCCCAGGCAGGTACTAAATATTCAGAATTAAGATATTGCACATAGCTAAATACTGAAAATTTAAAATGTCCACCTTTCTTAACTACTTCCCGGAGAAGACAGAACTACCTCCTCTCCTTCACAACTGCATCCTAACATTGTTCTATGGGAAATGCAAGATAAACGGGTGATCAAAATGCTAGCCTTTGCTTGTTGATTGCGAAGCTGGGACAATGTTCGAGCCCAGTTCTGTGTTACTCTAGCAAGCCTTTTGGATCCGTGACTTTGATCTGTGGTCCTTGTTGTCTTTGCTTTGCCCTGCTCATTTCTTCATTCCACGCTTAGCTTGTGCTAACTCTTCCTCCTCCGTCATCTCTTAGGGTCCTTTGCATCCTACTTATTTCCTTTTGGAAGTACATATTTTGAGCTATTTTCTTTGACTCATGCTAAATAGACTATGCGCTTCATGAAATGAGAAATAATTTATTGACAATGCCTAAACTCCCAAAGTTCCATGAGACACTGTCACATAATTGTACACAATAGATGTTTGTCATTTGGGCAGCTTGTATAGTTATTGACACTGATTGAAAATGATGCGGTCACAGTTCAAATATTGCCCCACGGGCTGTTTGAGGATGCTGAAGACTACACCCAAACCATGTTGGCTCCTAAATCACCTTTAACCATACTACACATGTTTTCGACATTCATTTCTGCTGAACACATTCATTACTCAGCTCTCGGCAGAGCTGCACACTCTGGCAGATCTCAGGGAGGTTTTGGCCTGCCCATCTTATCTCCATCAATCTGCTCTTTACCGGAGTACTGACAACGGGAGCATAAGTTGTACAGAGATGCTTTCCAAGACAAGCACATCAAGATGAATCGTCAAGGTACCAGCTCTTCGGGAATTGCTCCTCCTAAACACGGCCCTATGGAAATTATGGAGTCTGCTTTCACACCACCAGACTAATTTGAGAAAATACATAGAGAACATTGAAAAGGCCACTGGGGAGCTCAGTCCATCAAAACGCTTGCTGGGCATACTTGAGGACCGGACTTTGATGCCCAGCATCTGCGGGAAGCCAGGCCAGCTGGCTTGACACATGGCTAAGTCGGTACAGATATTTGCCACGGAGTCTGAACACCGCATGCCCATCTCTGGATCTCACAGAGTGGAAGGAGAGAATTGGTTCATGAAGACTGTCAAAGATTGTCTGTTAACCTCTACATCCATCAAGCCCCTTCGGTTTGTTACAGCAGAGGATACAGCATCCCAGTGTCCTCCTCACTGGGATCAAGCCCGCTCTTGTGGACTAATCTTCCGGGGTCACCAAATGATACCTACTGAGCTCTTTCACACCGTTTGAGTTTTCTCCAAAATCCAGTCCACATACTTGGCCACGTTGGTGTAGACACCTGGCCTTTCCCTCCGGCCACAGCCTTCACCCCAGCTTGTGATGCCCACCAAATGCCAGACCCCATTGTGCTTACAGGACAGCGGCCCTCCAGAATCTCCCTGTGGAAGGCAAGAAGAGGAAATATGCACGGACCACTTCAGACACTTCTGTGTATTAAATAAGCATTGTTCACAGCATTTTTTTAAAACTTAAAGTTCTGGCCTTTTTACAAGGTTCTAAACATGTGACTGCTTACCTGCCTCCAGCTTTTCTATTTTAGGTTGTAGTCTCCCTAAAACCCACCCTGTGTCCTGCTGGTGATGGCGGTTAGTCGGAGTTGTCAAGCTCACACATCTGAGCAGAAAGAACTCCACCTGAGGAGCGGCCACTGTTAGAGTGGCATGTGGGCATGTCTTGATTGCTAATTGATAAATAAATGTTTACAACTGAAAGTCGCTGGACACGAGTTTAGAAGTAAACCAGTGAGCGTCATTCCTCCGCAGTCTCTGCTGCAGTTCCTAACTCAGGGTGCTTCCCTCTACGGTGGACTGTGAGCTAAATAAATCCTTCCCTTCCCTGGGTTGGGTTTGGCCTGTGTTTCCTCACAGCAGCAGGAAGCAATCTAGGGCAGTACTGGGGGTAGAACAGTTTTTTTAAAAATGTAGAAAGCACTCAACCTCCTCCCACCCCCGTCTGATGGAACTGATTGCTTGGGACACTCTTACCTTGCATGCGTCCTTCCCCCCTTCCTTGTAGCCTGCACAGATCATCTTGTTGGTTATTTTATGATTCCTGTATCTTGTCTGACATTCTTCATTTGACACCAATGGTATCTTGACTTTCTGGAGAGTATTTTGTACTTCGCCTGAAAAAGGTCATTTTAGTGGAATAATATTATAAAAGTCAAAATTTTAGATAAAAATTACTAAGCTTAATTAATTTTTATAGTTATAGAGTATAAAGAAGACATTATGTACAATATTGTATATATAATCTTATTAATTTTATTAAGTTTAAAATTAGTTGTGACACTAAGTAGAATTTCTTTTCAAGCAAAATAATTAGAAACCAAGCTAGAATTTTTTACGTAGAGTGTTAGGTCCCATACTAAAAGTCTTCAGTTAAAATAGTCTTTAGAGAGGGTAATCATATGTAATATTTTAAATCAGATATATTGGTCTTTTTATTACTCTTCTTGTAATTGCTTAGTGTTCCTTTAATCACATTTTGGCCATGCAACTAGAGAGAAAGCAAGGGCTATGGTTAAGCTCTGTCCCTGGATTTTGGGATAGAGCAGAGATAGATGAACCCTTGGTTACCTCTTGATTGGGCATATCCCCATCCAGTCACCCAGCACTCCGTGTACAGGACGTTCTCATCGCCTTTGGAAGGTAGGCATATGGGCCGCTGAGAATCTAATTGTGGAAATCATACATTAGCTATCAGAGGCCGCTACCTTTTGGATCTGAAGTGTCTCCCCAAAGGTCCATATTTCACAAACTTCACCCCAGTCCATGACACTGCTTGGAGAGGGTGGAAGGTGGGCCCTCTAGATGGATGATAGGTCAGGGAGGGTGTGCCCCTCTTAGGACCCAGCCTCTCCCTTTCTCTCTTTCTGCTTCCCAACATCCATGAGATGAAGAGTTTGGTCCTCTGTATGCTCCTCACCAAAGGCTCCAGCAGAGCCCCCAACCCCAGGTGGGAGCCTCTGGCATCCTGAAAGCCCAGAGTACCTTTCTTCCCTACAAGGTAATTCTACCAGGTATGTGATCAGTGATGAAAACTGACTAGCCCAGAAACGAAGCCAGCCATTTTCCCCAGAAAAGATGGCTCTTTCACTTGACATTATCCGTGCTTTCTCTATTTATGATATTCATGTTATCTTTTTTCTCATATATTTTTATGTCTTGTGTTAAGTGTTGAATATAAAATACTCCAAGTTGGGGCTGGAGAGATGGCTCAGTGGTTAAGAGCACTGGTTGCTCTTTCCAGAAAACCTGGGTTCAATTCCCAGCATCTACATGGAAGCCCATGACTGTCTGTAACTCCAGTTCTGGAGGATCTGACATCCTTGCCCATACATGCAGGCAAAACACTAATGCACATTAAAGACAAAAATAATAATAGTAATATAGTAAAAGCATCCCAAGTGAAAGCGACAAGAAAAGGGTAAGACATGCGTCTTTATACAGGCTTTCATTTTAACCAGGTTTAATATTCTGTGGCATTTGCTTAATCCTGTAGTCAAGTCATTTGTCCCTAAAACAGAATGCCAATCTTTATTGTTCTTATTATTTCTGTATTCTATAAAATGATGTCCTTCTGTGTCCCTGAAGAAGCCCAGAGACAAGTCTCTTCGCCTGCACTCTCAGAGTGTGATCTAGTATTC